ACCTCAACACCCAGTCAGACACCCAAGCTAGTTCAAACAGGCCATCCTGGAGTAGTATTGTCAGAAAATGACAATACTCTCCCCTCGCACCGCACCAAACAATTAGCCCACCCGTCAACATTAACAATCATACAACATTAATAATCGTTTACCAAGCATCTGCACCACAAACATGCGTTCCCTATGTAACAAAGTTGATATCCTTAACCAATTCTTAACAGACACCAGCATTGATATTGCCTCTCTAACTGAAACGTGGCTGAGTCCTTACGGCAAGCAGGTTATTCTCTCACAAATTAATAGAAACTACACTTACATAAGCACCGAACGTCAGGATCGTTTAGGTGGGGGTACTATTATACTTTTAAATAAAAAGTATTCAGATAAAATAGAAGAAATAAAAATAACCTTCGACTCCCTACCTAACTCAATACCTAAACAAGAAGTTGAACTAACTATTGCTCGTGCATACCCAAAGCAATTGCCTCGAGGATACTCATCCTGTATAATAATTTGTGCTTATATCCCGGTCTGGTCTGAAAGTGCACAACGCAACGCATCATACCAACTTGCAAAACTCATCGAACCAGCAATAAATTGATGCATAATCGGAAATAAACTACTTATCATTCTTGCAGTAAATCTAAATGGTTGCCCAACTGACTTTATTTGCCGTCCACACCAACTAAATCACCTTAATGCACAACCATTATTTTAAGTAACGCTCCAAAATGTTACGTTTTCAATACCTTCCCTTCGGAAATTCAGATCACATCGTTGTAGTTAGTCAGCCACCACTTAATCTCTATAAAGCCACTCGCCCCGCTCATCGAAAGATTGTACATCGGTCAGGAAAAATTACTGAAACAGTTGTATTAATACATTGTACTGATCTTGAAACCTTGGTTGACTCACCATATGAAATACAAAATGCTTGCAACAACTTCTATTATTCCTTTCTCTTTGCTCAAGACATCTGCCAACCACAAAGAACAACAACACTTGTTAATCCTAAGCCTTGGATAACTCCGTTTATTCAGAGCCACATAAAAGAACGTCAGCGACTTTTTTTATCTGGTCATTACAACGAATAGAAAACACTAGCGAAGCAAGTCAACAAACTAATTATAAAAAGAAAACGTATTTATAACAGACGTTTTCCACCGGAAATACAGATTTTTGGCGAGAAATTAAGCTCGCCGATAAAGGACAAATCCCTGATTCTATCACTGAGACATTAACAAACGAACTAAATGATCACTTCCAAAGTGTTTGGAACAATAAGAAACAACCTAATCAATCTCTCTTTATCAACCGGCAAGCAGACCCGCCTACTACCCCTGTTTTCACCTATATTGACATACTCAACCAACTTAACAAACTAAAAACAAGATCGTGTGGTCCAGATGATATCTCACCACTGTTATTCAAACCCTCCCGCTTAGAAATTGCTCCATCACTTTGTATCTTATTTAACCGTCTCATAGAAGACAGTTTTCTTCCCGATCAATGGAAATCAGCAAACATAACATCAATTCCTAAAACCAAAAACCCGCTCTCATCTAATGATTATTGTCCCATCGCCATTACATCCACATTATGCACAGTTTTTGAACGCATTATTGCTAAATTTATTGTCCATCACACCAAGCACATCTGGGTCTCAAACAAACAGTTCGGTTTCCTCCCAGGCCGTAGTACAATGGATGCTATTATTCAAGTTATAGAAGACTGGAGTCACACAAAAGACAATCACAAATCAATCTTTGCAATATTTTTTGATTTTACAAAAGCATTTGACCTTGTCGACCATGAAAAACTACTACTGAAGTTAATAAATATTTTACCAAGCTGGCTTATATCCTGGATTGCAGTTTATTTATCTAACAGACGTCAAAGAATAAAAACAAATGATCACACCACTAATTGGAAATATATTCAAGCCGGAATACTCAGGGTAGTGTCTTAGGCCCTATCTCGTTTATTCTTTTTATCTCGGACATAAACACCTATCTTCCAGCCAAAACCATACTAGAAAAATATGCTGATGACATCCTGACTTACATTATCTACGATAAAGCTCCTGTTAACTTACCTCAATCTATCGTTGATTGGTCTCTGACCAATGGTATGAAGCTCAATATCTCAAAATGTAAAGTTATTAGAATTAACTCCAGGTGCCCCGTAAGTCATTTTCTACTATCTGTCGTACTTGATAAGACTGAGGTTGAAACAAGTACCTTGGTATCACGTTTGCTCTTAAAGCTAACACAACAACTTACCAACAATCCTTCATTCAAAAATATCTTCGTATTCTTCGTGATGGTGTCAGTGATCTTTACCTGCCACGCAACATTAGCAGCTCAGCTGCATTTTCAACACATAAGTAATCTGTTTAATAAACAGTGTTTATTTGCCTACGCTCTGGTGCTGCTACACTTCCTACATTATTAGCAATAGAGAAAATTGTAATTGTACGAAACTTAGATGGAATATTGCCTAACAAAAAATAAAATGCAGTCACTTTATGCTTCCCTCACTTAGCTCCTATTGGATTGCAAAGCTCAACTTCATCTACATATAACTGAATCTGCAATGCACTTGGATTTTCAGAAAAAAATTGTCACTATGAAAAAGTTCACTATCACAAAAAGACATCATAAAATCATTATTAGAAAAAGACTGATTGTAACTGTCACCCAAACAATTGTAAACATCTTCATGGGAAACTAATTTCGATAAAACTTCCAGAATCGGAATGTATTGAAAAACAGCAGTTGTATTATTTATTCTAAAATCTATTTGTCTTGGCATTGCAATCATTTTTTTGCTTTTCAATAATCCAATTAGTCTATTTTCATTTGAAGACATCTCACCCATGAATTGCAGCAATCTTTCTGTGTCTGTTATATGTGCCCAATCATTGTCTAGTGGTAAAATATTATTTTTGAATAAATATTGACATATAACATCCTTAAAACTACTTAGTGTAATCAAAAGTAGGTTTTGTATATCTTTTGCAATTTCTGCATGAACAGAAGCTGGAAGTATGTGCACTTCTCTGAGTCGCAAAAGAAGAAATGCAAAATGTTTTTCCAAAGTGTTAAGCATATCACTAATATTTTTACATTTAAAATCTTGATCTAATTTTACATTATTTTGATCATTTGATTCTTCGGTTGTTTCAGATGAATCTATGATGTTATCATTTCTATTATTTCTACTCCCCTGATCACTTTCATTATCATTAGACCAGCTTCTTAATAAATTACTGTGCTTTCGTTGAACATGTTTTTTTAGACTATTAGCACTTTTGAAAGTTTGCTTGCATGCACTTGAAACACGTCTAACATAAAAAAGAGGCTGATTTTCATGAAACAAGATAAGATGTCGTAAATACTTTCCAAATGAAAAATAATTGTTGCCACATTCACAATAAAATTGGGGCATATTTGGCTATTGTAAATTATCAGGAATCTGAAATGTAAACAGTACAATTAAAACGTTTACTATAAAATGCATAATAATAAAAAAATTACTTTCAAATTCGGCTCAGTCTTTTCATTAAATCCATTATCTAACAGCCATTTGGCTACTTCTGCAGGCGTTTTTAATATTTGCAGACATAATTCTTTAACTTTATTATTAGTTTTACTTTAAATTTTAATTATTAGCTTTACTTTAAAATTGTAAAAATATTTTAATTGACCTATAGGAATCTCATAGATAAATCGGTTAACTTAAAAAGTATACAATTTTGCGTATTTTACTTTAAAAATTTTAACAAAATACAATTTTAAATATAATAAAATAAAAATACTATTTATTTTATTTAAAATATCATATTTCTAAGCAATTGTAAATTTATTTAAAACCCTTTCTTCTTTAATTATGCCTCGATATCAATAAACGGCACTCGGGTTTTTTATATGATTTACGACGAACAAACCCTTTGCTAAAGGGTTTTCTAATAAAACCCTTTCAAAAAACCTTTTTTTACACACCAAAAGGTTTTCTAGTGGTAGAAAACCTTATGCAAGTGTGAAAAACCTTTTTCGGAAACCTTTTTTTTTTACAGTGTACGCTCTGGTGCTGCTACACTTCCTACATTATTAGCAATAGAGAAAATTGTACAATTCATTATTTGTAATGCCAATCAATTTTAAATTAAGATTTAAACATTAAAAAAAAAAAAAAAAAAAAAAAGTACAAATATATGAATACAGATGCGTTTTCTAATTAATATAGAATGACCAAAATTCGTAAAATCATTCCGTTAAATAGTCAGCGTACTATTTTAACATTATCGCTTCTTACCGAAATTTTCTGCGTTACCTAAATACCCGTTAATCGAACACACGTCCGCCCTTGCGCGTTTGTTTCTTTCAAAGTTAAACTTGTACTCGAGTTTAAGTTAAACAAGTTAAACTTGTACTCGAGTTTAAGTTTACTTTGTAAACTTAAACTCGGTCCATAGCAGGTACTCGAATAGGTAACTCGTTGGAGTAGGAGTTGGTCCTGGTTTCTGCAAATGTTGATTTTTTGTCTCCCTAAGAAAATTAGTTTAAGGAGAACAAGTCACAAATCACTATTAATAATTGATAAATTATTATTATATTGTTATAATATTTTATTAATAATTCTTTACTATGTATAATATAAACGTAACAAAATATACGTACAAAAATATATATACTATTTATATTTTTGTTTTTTTTGTAAGTTTATATTATATTATAAGAAACACGTAAAAAAACAATCGCAATGACAATACATACTCTGTTTAAATGGCTTTAATTTAAAGCCATTTTTAAGTTTAAAAGTGGTTATAAGTGGTTTTAATAACCAAAATTGGTAGAAATGGTTTAAATTAAGTATTTGAAATTTAATATAATTCACTTATATTATCTTTATTTATTATATTTATATTTTATAATATTATTATATAATACATTATATAATATTATTAAAATTGATTTATATCATAGTTAATAAAATTAAGCATTTAATAAATTTATTCAGAGATGGACAACTTCTTATTCGAACATACTAGAATAAATAGTGATGTATGTAAGTTCAAGATTTTTAGTGACAATAAAATTCTAAAATACAATCAAGTTATGAGTTTATTGATTGAAAACTGGAACTTTAGACAATTTTTTATAAATGGTTTAGTTAACAGCCCAATAAAGCCCTTTTTCTTTGAAACACCTGCAGTAAACTACACAACATTATACCTTATTGATTTTGAATTTGTTTTAATTAAAGCTAATGCACTAGAAAATGTAAAAGTAGACTTAACATCATTTAGTAATCAATTCTCAAGTTCGAAATCTGTAGTTGTGTTTCACAACATAGGGAAAGATGCAAAACTTGTTGTACCTTGTCCCATCCATGGACTTGATTTGTCACACTATGCTCATTTTTCAAGCTTTGTAGAGTATGGTTGTCCTGACCAAGTTGAACAATTGCTAGTAGAAACTGCTTTTGCAATAATGGAGGAGATAAAGCTTCAATCAGATAAGCTAATATGGCTATCCACATCTGGTTTAGGTGTTTCTTGGATACATATCAGATTGGACTCAAAACCAAAATATTATAACTTTATCCCATATAAAATTGAATAAATTTGTAATTTTAGTTTATATATCAGTTACATAAATTTAAATAAATAATATATGTACAAATAATATTGCAACAAATATATAAACAAATGAAATGTTTCATTAAGTTCATTAAGTTAAAGTTTTAAAAAAATTTATACTTTATAATTGTGTAAACAAGTAATCCAAACTATAAATTTATAAAATCAATGATAAATATAAACTTTTAAATGTCATTTGAACAAAATCATGGAAGTTGATGATGACAAAGATTGTATAGAAGAAACAATGCTTTTGAATTTGGAAATTGTTAAAGTTGTTCGGTAAGTAAAATTATTCAATTAGTTTTAACTCCTAAAAATATATTTCATCATTAAAAAAAAAATTTAAATACATTTTTCATTTTCTATTAAAATTTCTTCATTAGTTACTTTAAATTTAATGTCGTCCAAGGGTTTTATTTTTAACAATGTAAATAGTTGAAATCATGATTTATTTAATTCATTCAAGTCTAGGGTTCCCATATGTCCTGATTTTACGTTAGAGAGCACATCGCTAAATTAATTAAAGTTAAACTTTTAATTGCGCTCTCCTTTGTAAAATGAGGACATATAAGAACCATGTTAAAATCTTATCTTAACAAATTTTAAAAACTTTGAAAAAATATAATAAACAGATCTACTTGAATCTATAATGTTAGAAACACATAAGAAATATTAGAAAAATATTAAATATTCTATGTAAAAGTCGAACAAAATGTTTTCAGTCACTCCTTCAAACTTTTTTAAAAATTTAACATCAATGAAACTTATTAAGTATTATTATTAAATTTCTTATTTGGCATACATTCTCCATTATTGGTTTTTAACAGTACTTTTTTTTACTAAGAATGTTTTATGGTCTAAATATAGTTTTTAAATGTTGCAGATTTAAAAATAAATTTTGTCTTTATTAAAATGTTGCTATGTAGTCTAAATATAATTTTTTTTTTTTTTACATCAGTTGTAATGTGTAATTAGGGTAACTTAAGTGATATATAAAAAGTTTAATTAAAAAATTTAAGCCTAAACTTAAAGCCTGAGAAAAACTTTAATTTTAGATTACATAGGTATAGTTTCTTTTTTGAAAATCCAAAAGTTGCTTTTTATTAAATCTTTTGATGATATTCCTGAATATGAAAGAGAAGTTGTTATGTGGAGAACTGTCTAACAATAATCAATGTCAAATGAACAACTTGCCTGCATGTTTATTTGAAGCATTATACAACTAAATTAACATAATATCCAGTGAGTCAGTTTAACAAAAAGGTCAAAACAAAAAGTTGTATATTGACTTTTTTAATCATTTGCAATTAACATGCATATGTTAATGGCAGTGAATATTTTATAATGCACTTGATCAATTTTGTAATTTTGTGATTCAAAGTTAAAAAGTTGTTAAAATATGTGTGAAAAATGTGAAAAACATGTAAATACTGGCAATACATCCAGCGACGTATACAGGTCGATTTTGATACCAGTATATTGGTATATGCCCCCAAATTTCTGCCCAAACTCTATTTAAAGCAAATTATATATGCACCAAGTTTGTCATAAAAAATTAAAATATAAATTTTTTTTATTACTTATTGTCTTGATGTTTTGTGATTTTTTGTTATGGTAATAATAATGATGATTATGATGATAAAATTTGTTATGATAATTACAAAACTGTTATTGTCATTTAGAAAAAGCAACATTTGAAAAATGACTTTTAAGACAGATTATAAATGTATTTTAAGTCCATCAGAATGCTTAATTCGAATTCACGTAGATAAAATATGGAATGTGTTACAATTGGATTAAAATGTAAAATGCACATTTTGATTGGATTAAAATATGAAATGTTTAGCATTTTATATTTTTAAATAAAAACATTAACTTTATAAAAATACTCTTAATATGAGTTTCTCCTCTGCTTATATTTTCATAACTATAATTCACAATGCGATTAAACTCTATGAGCTATAAACTTCTCTATAAGCTATAAACTTTTTCATTTCAAATAACAGCAAAATGGCATTAAAAATATTTTAAATAATAAAATAAATAAAAGTTTTTTAAAACATAATAACATTATAATAATCATGCCAAAAAACTTGATTTGAAAAGTAAGAGAATAACAACAAACAAAAATTATTAACTTTTGAATGAATTAATTAAAATTTTAAATGAATTGACCTTGTGAAATGTTATAGTTAATGCTTCTCTTGCGAGTAACCGTAAAGGGTAGTAATGGGAGAAGTAATAACAAAATAAATTTGATTTTATTCTTTATATTAGTTAGCGAATATAGCGTGTAAATGAAAATTAGCAGCAAATCGATGTTGGTATTAAAGCTTGACGGTTTTAACGTCAACATCGATTACATAGAATATTTCATATTTTTCTAACATTTCTTATGTGTTTCTAACATTATAGATCCAAGTAGTTATAGTAATAAATGTAACATTATTTTGGTTATTTTTATTTGGAAAAACGTAAAATACTAGGGCAAGGTATATTATAATTAAATCTTTTAAATATGTGTTCTTAAAAAAAAAAGGTCCTCTAAATGTAGACGAGATTTTTAGATGCCCAAAAAATTCATGTGCATACCGGTCTAAAAATTGACATCTGTGGCATTTAGAAATAATCTATCCTTATGGAATTTGAAAATATTTATATATATTTACCTATAACTTAAATTTTTTAGCAGGTTTTTTTACCTTTTTCATGTAAAAAAACTTAACAGTAATAGATTTACCACACATTATAATAGGATAAGATGAAATTAATTTAAATGCATACTTTATTACTTTAGCTAAAACTTGCTTTACTTAGCAAAGGTTGAATAGACCAAATTTTGAAAATTTAACAAAAAAATTACTTAGCAAAAGTATTTATGAAGTTTGCTTAAATTTTTTTATTCAAGTCATTGTTTTTAGTAATTAAATGAATAAACACCTGCTATCAATGTGTTAATCAATTAATTTTAATTGACCACAAGTCGTTGCAGCATTGACCACAAAACCCACTTTTAATAATTAAAATTGAAAAAATTAAATGACAGTTTCAACATGATGAAGCAGTGAGATTTGTATTATAAACTTTTAGAGGCCAAGTGGGAAAAGAGAATTGACATTATAGCAGATGTCAAGGCTGACATTATTTTGATTGGGTTTGAATATGTCGGATGAGATTAAAAAGGATTTTATGAATGATCTTAGAAGGAAATGGAAGGAGAAAAACAAAACTAGTACACAGTTTGAGAATATTCAACCTTTGGATCCTCCTGTTAATCCTGAAATTAAGTTATAATATATGTATATAATAATCATTTAGTGTTATATGTCTTCTATTCAAATGTAATGTTGTCAACACCAATATTTGACTTATCATTTGTCTATTTGAGTAATCTTTATTATGTCAATATTTTAATGTTTACTGTTTTCTTCAACAATAATGGATTGGAAGTTGTATGAAGTTATGCATCCTCAAAAGTTTTATATTTTAGATTTACAAATCTTTTTGTGCAAGACTGTATGATAATTATTCAAATTCTAGAGTATTAAAAAGTTGTATATGACATCAAGTGTCATGATTTGTATGGTATGTTTAAAAATGAGCTCCTACCCAAGAAATTATAACTGATTGTCTAATTATGAAGATTTTATGCTCTTCTAGAAAGAATTAGATAAATTTTTTTAATGCCTCATTAATTTTCCGGACAAGGGAGACCTACAGTAAAATTTTCTTGTAGATTATACTGCACAAAGAAAAGAAAATTGGAAGAACTAAGCAGCCAGAAGTCCACAGATGAGCTGTTATCTGTTGCTATGATGCATCTCAAGATGGATGGAAGGTTAAAAGATGCACATATTGCAGGAAATACACAGTAAAAATGATGGAATAGTTTAGTAGGGTGGTTGCTATAATAAAAAGCACTTACTCTGTTATTACAATGCAAATCATCCAAGAATAATTATCAAGTATTACACAATGGAGCCAAGGAAAGAGGATACAGCAAGATGTATCCCTTATACAGTTTAGTACAAGAGAAAAAGTAGTACTGCAGGGATGCAGTACTACTTTTCCTCTTGGAATACAAGTAGAGGACTACTCAGCTGAGGTAGGACTTCAAGATATATTAAACCATATGGCAATGAGGATAATGGAACTTGCCAATGCTTGTCCTCTAAATTTCAAACTTTTACTAATCAGCAAATTTGAATTTGATGGCAATACCAGACAATCTGTTTACAAACAGACAACTGAAGATTTACCCGTGAAGAGTCTTCTGTTGAGGAAAGTCTATTCCTCACTTGTTGGTACCACTTCAACTGTTTGTATTTGCTACATCTGAAATTATATGGGTTAATGAGAAACCTCATCAACTTTGTACTGCAGACCAATATGTTTTAGATATGTTTAAGAGAACAAAGATGTTTTTGTTCAAGAGTTGAATCATATCAAAGAATATGAGCTTCAGCTCACTCTTGTTGAAAATATTTTTATTGAATATCAACCAGAAATGACCATGTTGGATATAGTAAAGTAGCAACTGCCCTCAGTAATGTAAGTGATTCAGCTCTTTGTTGTTCTATTTGTGGCGGAACTCCAAGTAAAATGATACTATTTTAATACTATTTTTGATATTATTTATGAGAAAAGCAACGCGCTTAGTATTCTTTTTTAGAATACTAAGCGTGTTGCTTTTCCTTTGAAATATCTACTCTTCATGCATGGGTTAAATGTACACCATGCATCTTCTCCACATTGCATACAGAACAGTTTTTGAGAAATGGCAAATTAGAGGAGATAAAAATATATTGAAGATAAAAAAGAAAAAAATATTGGTTCAGCAAGGATTAAAGGAGAAGATTGGTTTGGTAGTGGACGTTCCTTGATCTGGAACATCCAACAATGGTAATGCGGAAAGACATTTTTTCAGGGTATACTTTTTAACCTTCCCTTTTAAATTTTATAATTCAAGCTAAAAAATATATGATCTATAAAACATTTATAAATATAAATGTTTTCAGGAATATTCTGTTTCTGTTGAAGTATTAGGTATCAACGAGGAGCTAACCAAGCGTTTGTACATCGTATAATTGTACTGTCTCATGTATGGAAGAGGTAAATCCTGAGGCTCTAGAGATCTATTGCACGGAAACAAACCAACGTTTTGTTCATCTATACTCCTGGTATTAAATGCTGCAGGGTTTACACAAACTGTTAATACAATCTCACCAGGTAGTTTGCAATAAAAGCTATTGGTATGCTTTTTGAGAAGCACAGGAAAGCAGAAAAAAAGATATAAAAAACTTCAGAGAATTCTTTACACTTAAAGTTTCAAGAAAAAAACAAAACCTGGATATAATATGAAGACTTCTGTGGAGCTCAGATCCAGTGATCAGCTTGATCTGAGCTACACAATTAAAAAATCAAAATTGCCCCACTAAACAGCCATTCATTTAGAGTGGTCAAAACCTAATTTTAATGTCAGAAATAGGTTCCTTGACCCCAAAAAAATATGATTAGATGTTTTATATGATTATATTTAGACATTTTCTATTTTAACTATTTTTTGTTATATTCTGGCCCACTGTGTAATGCTACAATCCATTTAATTCCCATAACAGAAGGTAAATACCTTCTGTTATGAGAATTAAATCAGTGACAACTATCAGTGACAACTTTTGCTTATCTATCAGTGACAACTTTTGTTTCTTAAATTTGCTTTATAAAAGTATATATATATATATATATATATATATATATATATATATATATATATATATATATATATATATATATATATATATATATATATATATATATGTATATATATATATATATATATATATATATATATATATATATATATATAAAGAGAGAGAGAGAGAGATACACACACACACACACACACATATATATATATATATATATATATATATATATATATATATATATATATCTATATATATATATATATATATATATATAGAGAGAGAGAGAGAGAGAGAGAGAGATACACACACACACATATATATATATATAAAATATATATAATATATATATATATATATATATATATATATATATATATATATATATATATATATATATATATGTATATATATATATATATATATATATATATATATATATATATATATATATATATATATATATATATATATATATATATATATATATATATATATATATATATATATAGAGAGAGAGAGAGAGAGAGAGAGAGAGAGAGAGATACACACACACACATATATATATATATAAAATATATATAATATATATATATATATATATATATATATATATATATATATATATATATATATATATATATATATATATATATATATATATATATATATATATATATATATATATATATATAAAATTGGAATTATTTGAAGATCCACTCCAAAATGGAAATAGTATTTCATACAAGGGCAGATAAGAAATTTGTAGAGATAAAGAATAGAATTTGAAGTAAGAAAGTGGTGAGAACGATAAAAAGATGCAACCTTAGCAGATGGTAATTCAGTGATGGGTTTGATATGTGGTTTTGGATCGGAATTAAGAGTTAATCCTAGAAGATAAAGGATAGATGACTCATTGAGTACATTACCTTTCAAAATTATAGGAAAATGTAGATTATTGCAATAATGATTAGCTGAAAAAAATTGATTTTTATCTGAGTTAAAGTTCACCAGCCAGAGACTCTCATTCTGTAGCAGAAGTGAGATCCTTTTCAAGCTCCAATGCCCCCTCCAAGCAATCAGAAAGTGTTGGTTTCTTATCAAGACAATATTAAATGGTAGTATAATCAGTGAACAATGCCACTTTAGATGTGAGAATTTTTGGGAGACCGTTAATGTAAATTTAAAAAAGTATAAGGTCAAGGATAGAACCTTGAGGAACCACTAAAATTACAGGAAATTAAAAAAAAAGAGTGCTGTCCATCAAAGATAATATTAAAGATGTTGCCTGATACACTGTAAGAAGAGAGCTTATGGAGAAGATCAGTATGCCAGAATATATCAAAGGCTTTAGAAATATCAAAAGCACTAGCCCAAACCTCTCCACATCTATCTAATGCATGATAAAACCTATCAGTTATTACCGTTAACAAATCAGTATTAGAACGAGTAGATCAAAGTCCATATTGATGATCAGAATGTAAGTTATTAGATTCAAGATAAGAGATTAGGCGTTTGTTAATTATAGACTTAAAAGCCTTGTTTATGATAGAAGGCTAATAGGATGGTAGTTAGACAAGTCAGATCGCTTTCCAGAATTTTTGATAATAGGGAAAAACATGACTCTGATTAATGCTTGTTAGTTAGTTTTGTTATAATAGTTTTGAAAGTATAGATGATAGCTCTGAAGAACTTTTCTGCAAGACTTTAACAGGTATGCAAGGCTTGATATAAGCTCCAGACATTGAACAATGTCCGGCACTTGTCAGGTAAAAAAACAACATCTATCAGTCGATTTGTCTGACCCATATGTTACATGCATTTATTTTCTAATCATTTTAGTTGTTCCAAAATCATTAATAAATTCAGTATTCTATATAAACTTTATTTTTTGAATTTTTATTGGACATGTCTTTTAAACTTGTGAGATAAACTGAGATTCGTAAACTGAGAGTAGCAGGATTTGGTTTTAGACAAAACCTTTTTTTAATGGTTTCTAGCAATAGTAAACAGATTTCTGTTTTCTGGAGAATTGTGTTGATAATAAGTATGGTGTCGCAACTATGATTTAATTATCACTTAGTTTGTGTTCACCTTCATCATTTCTTTATTATCTGACAATTATCTGATAGATAAGTAGTTGATTTAAAATAGTATTTTGTTGTAAAATACATTTCTTTGAATACATTATTTAGCAGTGGACATATTTCAGTGTAACATATTTTTGCCACGCTAACAAAAACTATTTTATTTAATATTTTAATAAACTTCTAAGTTGCAAGTACTAGGCTAATTGTAAATAGTTATTGAAAACTGTTTTAACTATTTTAAATATTAAGTAACTTTATTTTAGTAATTTTAGTTTTAGCATTTATTAAATATTTAAAATACTTTAAACAATTTTTAATCATTAATTACAAAAAGAATAGTATTTGCAAAATTAAAATAATATTAATTATGTTTATTACAAGTTCGTGAAACCTGACAACCAGCCGGTCTCAGAACCATAAAACTGAGTTTTAGAGCTGTACCTTCATTAGAAGATAATAGAATAAATTGCCTAGTCATTTTCTTATTTTTCGGAAATTATGACCATATATTAACCCCCCTCAATTTGAGGGGGCTGTAATTTTTGGAGGGTCTTAAAAACTAAAAACTAAGAGGTTATTGCATGAAATTTGAAATTTGTTGATGAATATAAACTTGGATAAAAATACTAAAGAAATTATTTTATCAACTT